GGCTTCTAGAACATCATCAAGTTATGTTTAAGAGACGAGGCAAGATCATGGTGCACGGTAATAAACAAGGCAGGAAAGTGGGGTAGCTGTGTTTATTAGCACAACTTCAAAAATCATTGTAGAAGTCTATATCACAGCACAGGGTGATGACAAAGGGACCAGTAAAGAACCAAAATGGTCCAAAACATGATCCACAAGAAGGGGATTCTGTGACAGCACTTATAAAACAACACTATGGTCAACAATTTACCTTGGTTAGTCACTGCAAATACCAATTCCTCGATCAACAATTTGTAATAGGGTTCCACAATGATATCGGAATCATGTCGGCATCAGCGGATAAACGCATGAAAAAATGATTAACACCAGATTTAACCAATATTTAAAATCGATATTTTATGAGATGTATTGTTCTCGGAGCACAATGTTTAGGTGATGCTGGGCCACTGCGCTAAAATATCTGCACTTTATTAAATTTTACTACATTTGTAACAGAGCAGAAATAAATGTTACATTTCCCTGTAATGCTAATTCAGATTCTCAGTTTCTGTTTATGTATTGGCCTCGGCAGATACATACATGAAAATTTTCGCCATCAGCCCACAATTCCTATATCGGTGAATACATAGATTGTAACATGCTGTACGTGTAATGGCAAGATTTTTTTTACATTTGCCCTTTTTAAGTAGCTGTCCTTTGTTCTTGAGAATCAGTAAATACTGTAAGTATTACAAATCTTGAAGCACTACGATTCAACATCTGGAACAGCGGGCAAAACGCTGGTTATTTCTTTGAATTTTTCACCCTGGAATCTTTTCTTTTCTTCATGTTCTTTACTCCGCTGGGATTCCTGCACTCTCCTTTTCTCTTCTTCTCTCTCCTTTCTTTGTTTTTCCTCATTTTCCAGTTTTTCCTTCTCCTGCGTCAACTTCTTCTTGTCCTCCCTGAGTTGTATGAGTTCTGAGATCAGAGTAGGCCGCCATGTTAAGAAAGGTTTTGCCATTTCAGAACCCATTTTGAAATTGTTTATCTCAGCTTTCAGCTGATGTTTGGCTGTAAAATATTGACCTGTAAGCAAGAAAAAAAACATTGTGGTAACATACAACAATAAACAATCTGTATTCCATTGACAAATATTTAAATATCAAAATGTATGTAATAGATCTTCATGAATGTATGTGTCCTTAGACATGCCTGACCGTAAATCATTTGAAAAAATACATAAATATGATAACAAAAATATGAATATGATGTGAAATACTTGTCCTGGGTGTCCAATCATCCTTAAATATTTTAAAATTGATGGCCTTTTGCATATAGTATTTAAGACCAAGAATCGTAGGCTATTATAAAATATTTATTTGTATCTATAGGTGATAATCATATGAATCTAAATTTATTTTATAAATATTTGATCTCATTTGGCTGCCTCTCATGCTTTTAAGCTACATCATATTATAATTAACTTCATACTTCACTCACAAAGTGTGATCTGCTTTATCAGTTTACATCTTCTATCACCTGAGTGCTTTGGCACATGCTGATTTTACAGGGAAGTGCTAAGATGCAGATAAAATCTGCATTCATGGAAAGCTCTACACAAGAAAAAACTGGTGGCGACCTTGCAACTTGAATCTGAATACAGATAACTTTTCCCGCGTATCTATTGACGTAACTTAAGCAGCCGACGTAACTAGCATCTAGTAACCAGGGCCCCAGTGCAAAAATAATTAATGGGCCCCCACCATACAAAAATACTTTAATTTCATAAAGAACAATGTAATTTGTATGTTTATTCCGTGTTGTTGTGTTGTGTTGTGTTGTCTAAAAGTTGTTAAGTCTGTTAAGGCATACCACTCTACACACTAGAATCTAATATACTTGGTTTGTTATATAACATTGGAATATTGGAATTGGTTAAACTGGGTTGCTGGGATGGACAGAGCACTCTTCTAATAAAATCATCATTCCTGCAAACCCTGCTCTCCTGAACTCTCTTCCTTGGCAAAGAAAAAGATTTACAATAATGGTAACTGTAAATACAACTCTTCATCCAGGAGAGATTTAAAATGGTTTGGCTAACACACATTAAATCAAAAATGGTTTTTATTTGTTTGTATGTATTTATTTTAATGTCAGTGGTTCTAGGACAAATAAACACTCACCGCCTAGATAAATAAATTTACATATCATTTTCTAAGATGCCTGTTTGTCATGCCTCCCTCCGGCATGGCTGGAACTACAGCCGACACTGCTGCCTCAGAGTACAATTCCCAGAACCCCTGTTCCTCATTTAATGCCTTTGTTAGCCTGGGCTTTAGTTATTTGCGAAGTATCTCTCAGCAGGACCATACTGAGCATTCTCTCCTTTCTTGTTTAGCGACTTCCGTGTATGACCTGTTTTTCTGTTCTGACCATGATTTTTGCTTTGCCCTTTTGTCTTGTCTTGTTGTGGATCTCTGGTTTTCAATTGTTATTAAAAATCTTAACTGCATCCTCGTCCGCGAACGTCTGTTTCCGTCTGTTATTGTTTGTTTACAATAAGAATAGATTCCAGAGTTAATATGTAGATCATGTGATACAACCCCATTTCCAAAGAAGCTGGGATGCTGTGCAAAATGTAAATAAAAACAGAATGGTTGCTCTGTTTCTGCTTGACAGGTGGGTAACTAACTTATTTTTGCTGTTCACAGAACCATTAGGTCAGCACTGTTTTGTCTGTTTGTGATAGCTAATCCCAACTGTTTAGCTTCGCAGCAGCAACTTAGCTAATGTTACTTACTTGCTGTGTTATTGTTCGCTCTAATGTTTTATCATGGTATTTGTCTGTACAACTTTTGTTAAGGGCTTTATAGCCACAAAGACCTAAAAAAAAAAAGTTTGCTAACCCAGTGTCGTTCACCTTGGCAATACGCATATATGAATACGATATGTATTCCAAAATATCAACTCCTTTCTCCAGAACCACTACCTTCACCTTTAATGCGGGAATGAGTCCCCCGTCCCGCTCACTAAAACTATGTGACTGTGTTCTGCTCTAGTGGTCTGGACAGCGCTACTAGTCAGGCTACCAGCCAGAAAGTTTCCTGGTACTCCTAATGGGCAGTCAGAGTCTGGAGGGGCCCATTAAAAAAACTGGTGGACAGCTCCAGTGCGACTTCCCACCCTGCCCCCCTTCTAGTTACGCCACTGCATGCTGTCTGTTTTTCCTGTGTACATGCACTGTAAAAAATCTGAAACCACAGCAAATACACCAGTTTTGTTTAACTACCAGGGAGACTGCTAAGAGGTTAAAACATTAACTTTCTCTAGCAATATTCAGAGTTAGACTTTAGATTGAAATGCTCTCTGAAAAATTCACTGTACACCGACTGCAACATACAAAGTAAAAATATGTTAGCTGAATGCCTAAGCCTTTAATCCCTATGAAGCCGTGTGTAGGCTAGAACTGTGTAGTATTAAACCTATTAACTAAACATTAAAAAACTTCACATGAAAAGCCATTGACAGGTGAAAAACTGGGTAGGCCAACTTGGTACATAAGATTTCCAAGCATGCTATGTAGCACAGTACGTATGTAGCAAAATTGCTTCTGCCCTAAAGCAAAACAATAGCAAAACTGCATCAGCTGACATCAACTAGAATGCTGGATTCACATAAACTGAACCCAAAACTTCACTAACCAACAGCACCCTACAGTGTACAGTATGTGTCCCCTCAACACAGGCATAGATTTTGCTCAGTGAAGACAACATAATCATTAAGTTAAAATCAGCCAGCTGAGAAAAAACAAAAGCACACAAAAATCAAAATCTTATCATCCTAGGCTAAAGCATAGTGCCATGTTGGACATGAGAAATGTTTACGGACTATATTGTTTTTGATATATTTTGGTTTTGGAAATCAATAAACTCTTGTGTTTCTGTCTCATCATGAATCTCACTCACAAAATCACACATAGTCATGCTTTCCAGATCTTTTGATCTTTTGAATGCAGCCAGGGCTATAACTATAATAAAAATTTTAGTGAGGTCCATTTTGCAGGAAAGTGACTTACACCACATAGTTAATAAACTGCTGAATATGTGTTTTACACTAACTGTTACTTTCTGAAAATACAGCTGAGACCCATGTTAAAACCTGTAGTAAATAAGGTGACAATTTTGCATTTGTTTTATTTCATTACCTCTCTTTGTATCTCCTTGTTTATTTTTCTCTCTTATTTATCAGTCCCCACTGACTACTGAAAAGCATGCATTAAACATATTTTATAAAAGTCTGTCTCTACCAAACCCAGCTAACGGGCAGGCTACTCATATAGTTAACCAGACAAAATACAGCCTAATGTACCTGTTGATTTCTGAATTACGTTACATGATGCTGTGCTATCAATATGTTAATTAAAAGTAAACGTTCTCATGCTTCTTGTAGTCTAAGAAGGTAACACAATACAACAACTTTGAATTACTATTAATTTCTCACTCAGTTGCTTATACAGCCAACCAAGGAGCTAGAAACATTAGCCTAAATTCACCACCTACTGGAACTAGACTTAGCAACACTATAAGACATGCTGACTTAGCTAGCAATGTTACGAGTGGTCCAAATAAAAAACTATGAAAAAAAAATGATGAGGTTTGCATTTTACAAGTGTAGCAGATTAGGTTTCCTCTCGTCCGGCCCACTTAATTGTTCTTGTGCTGATTTCATAATTTAATTTTACTTTAATTATTGGGCGGTCCCTTTTAGTGTTACATCTAGGCAGGTGACTGCTACCTGGTTGTATGTTTCCTTCTTCTCCCCACACTGAAAAAAAATGAACTTGGCCCTTAGTAAATTTTACATAATAAAATTGTGCATGTTCTTCTGCAATTTAAATGTGTTTTTGCTTCAACTAACTAATAATAAGCAATGTTGAAAACCAGTAAACTAAACATATGAAACATGCTTAAAGTGAATTAGAAATAATAATGTTGTGTCAAGGGGTCCCGAGCTGACGGCAGCCATTTTCTACACCACGTCTCTGGGAAGATTTGGCTGACCTGAGGAAATTCTGTCCTCTTACATTTACAAGGTAGGATATTGTATATTGTCTATTGTTTGTCATTATGGACATATAACATGTTCATGACATTTACGCAGAAAAATATTGGCAAAAACGTAAGGTTAAGGGAGGACTTGGCATGGCTTAAAATTCGCTAGCTAGCTAACTTAGCTTAAACCGACGCATATTCAAAGTACACGTAACGCTAACGATACTCAGTCAAATAATCACTAAACTTACTAAAGCTGATCGCAGCGTTTTAATTGTAAAGGTCAGTATTTTAATATAGTGTGTCCTTCATAAGTATCTGTCTATGTTGAGGTCACTTGAGGTCCTCACTAAGTTTGCTCATGAACACAACCGTTAGCTAACGTTACTGTGGACCTAGCCTGCTAGCTAGCTAGCTAAGTAACAGCGCCATTTTCTAAAGTTCACTGCAGACGAGTGCGTTTAGCTGCTGTGTCATCGCACAGGTACACTGTAAAATATTGTTTAGATGGTTGTAGATGCACACAGCAAACAGCGTTGGATATAACTGATGAAAACGTACAGTTAAGGGACGACTAGCCTAGCATAAGTTTGTGAGGGGCTCAATTCAACACATTCTAAGTAAACAGACCTAACCGCTAGCTAGCGTTAGCTAGTTGTGTGTCCTTGACGCGGCCTGTAATAATCTTTTCCCATGGAGGAGGCTGTGCTCGCTTCGCCTGTGATTTTGGATGTGATATTTGGATAATAGGTGTCCACAAACCTGTGTAATGTCAGACCTTGTTACGCTAGCTAGCTAGCTAGCTTCACCGAGCCTGGGGTTTGGACATGGAGCCTGCTAACGCTATTGTAGCTAGCGTTGGCTTAGCAAACACAGCGTTAGCAGCTAGTAGGTTACAGACATCAGTTAACGGGTTTAATTTCAACGTTTGTCCATTTAACACTTAATGCTCTGTTCGATGAACCCAGTTTGCAGTGCGGTGTTCCAACATGGTCTCTGATACCGTTAGCGCAGCTAGCAAGCGTTAGTTAGCTAAGCAAACGTTAGTGTTAGTAGCTAACTGGCTAACTTAGCTAGTAGGCTACAAGCACCATGAAGCAGGTTTAAGATTAATTTCAGCTTTCTGTTCCTTCAACACCAATCGCTCGACTTTGCTCTGTCAGAATTGTCAGTGGAGATTTTTAGTTCGGCATAATAGAATCCGTTTTCTTGTTAATTAGCAAGCTAATGATAACTGTTCAGCTCTGCAGTGAAAAAGAGGTTTATGTTTGCCCATATAACAGCAGAGTGTCACTGGTCGTTATTATAATCAGAATATCATTTTGTATATAAGATGGTGCATGCACACACTCACACATGTATTTTGCTCATGTAACTCCCCTGTCATTGTTACCAAAATGGGGTTTACCTTATGTTTAGTCAACCTGCATTTATGTTAAACATTATGGTCTTCAAGTGTCAGAAGTGGTAGAAGTAATTATTATACATTGATTTTAATGCTCAATAATGCACAAACCCTAGACAGGGAATCCTGATAGCTATATTGATTAAAAGAACCATGATGTGACTTAAATATCATAGTTGGTTTCAAACTAAAATAATGTTCACAGGATTAAAACAAATAGCTAAATATGAGTAAAATAATGTATATTATTGTAAGACTATTAAATTTCAGCCAAAATAATGCACTGTTTTGTCCTTCTGTATGGTGAGATAAAACATTAAGGTAAAGCGATAAAACATTAAAGTAAAGCTTATGTTTAAGATAAAATGTTAACATGGTCTTTCATTTAATTTTATTTAAATGTCCTCTTTGTTTATAGGTTAAGGCTTAACAAGGTTGTTGAGTGACATGTTTTAAAGGATTCTCTGGCATGTTCTAAGTCTCTGGTAAGTGCATTTTTATGATCCAGATTTGATATTTAACTATGAGGCTATTTGTTTTGTAAAGCTACTTTTTATTTATTTGTTTTATTGTTCAAATTAGTAATCATTTTTCAGTCTCTAAGATGACCAGGATTTTGATGTTCATATGCTTCTTTTATCTGTTCCTTGTACGCTTGTCAAGTTAATGTACCATTTTTTTTTAAACAGTTGAAGGTATATTCTAACAAGTGCAATCAATATGTGCAGGTGAAGAATGTCCACCGTAAAAGAGAAGCCATCATAAAAGCTCTTTGTCCGCACCTGAATGATGATGATGGATTTCTTATCGAGGAGTACATGGTAAGTCAGTATGTGACTTAAGCACATCATTCTAATTCAATTCTAATTTCTAACTAAGGTAAATTCATCTTATTTCATATTTGTGCTCTTTTAAATACTGTGTGTGTCTTCCAGACACCTCAGTTCTTATATCAATTGCTAATAACATTTGCTTAATAAAATCAGACCCCTCCCATCTGTATAGTAAATCCAAATCAAAACATGGCGTTGGTGTGTTAGTATGTTAGCACCAACCATAGATTGTAATGTGTATTTTACCACTGAATGGAGTTTTGTGGAGATGGGGGCTGATTTTATTTAGATTCATCATAAAATAAGTATTTGATATTTAAAAAACTGTCGGAGGTGTCTGGAAGTATTTAGAAGAGCTCAAATGAGAAATAAACTGAACTTACTCTTTATGGAGCAAGAGAACAATGAAGTTAATTACAATATTTAATTTGTAGGACATTCATGGTGAAGACATCTTGAGAGACCAGCACAGCACTGAAATGGGCATTTATGTCATCAGAAGAGGGTGGAGCTCTTGGAGAATATGAAGACGTTGACGCTGATGGAAACGTTATTGTAGGAAACATCAAATCAGTTGCACCAGACTGCAGTAGTGCTTGGAGTAATCTATGCACTGAATATGGCTCACCACAATGGGCGGAAATGCTGCTATGAATTTGTACATTCCTCATGCCAAAGGATGGTGCAAAGCTCTCCCCTAATATTCTTGGTTTGGAGAACAAAATCTTGGGATAGTCAAAGTAGGCTGTCCATTCTGGAAATATATGGAACTTTTCACACTAGCTTCTGCTATTATTGAAAAGCAATGGGCTTTTGAACAACGCTTAAGTCACATGAAACTAGAATGGCTGTATTTGTCAACATCTCTTTTAAAATTCAATGACGTTTCAATAATTTTCTATACAACATGTCAAGATCCTGGTCATGTTTAAGAACAATTTGTCTTAAAACAGCATGCAGTCTTTTTTGCTAAAGCTGTACAAAATAACCTTTTCAACAATTTGAGCTCTATACATTTTCACCCTAAATTTGCAAAGTCTAACAAGCAAAATAAGGTTGTGCTAACTAGAGGCATTGCTTTGACAAGAAGGTTGTACTCTGTAGGCACTATTTCTGGGGCATTATTTTGATCATTGTTGACAATGGGATATTGTATAAAGTCATATAACATTAATACTGTGTTACTGTGCTGTTCTATTTTAAATATCTGCTGTTGTAAAGTTGCACTTAAGGTTGGTGTTATCATTACATAATTACTGAATGTTATTTCATTGTTTCACAAATTCTGGGCCATTACTTAAGACTTCATTAATTGTGATTAAAGGCTCACACATTTAGGTGAATGTGTTTATAATTGCAGTGTTCTGTTTGAAGCTTATTGTTGTATGTAAAGTTGCATTTTAGCTTGTGTTGCCTGCAAGACAAGCAATAATGTATTGATAGCTGTGCACTTTTAGAGAAGTATTTAGTCTATTTTTTTACTACTCTGCTTAATTTTGTCTACAGTCATGTTTTATTACTTAATATTCAGCGTTTTTCTATAATGGTAAAGCAAATGTGTATTTTAGTTGATCCTAATATGCATGTGCATTTGATGTACCTTAATAAAGTCACTGTAATTTTTTTATTGCCATGATAGTCATTGTCTTGACCAGATGTTTAAATTAATTGGAACATTAATAAGTGTAGTTGAAGTTTAATTTGTGAAAATTAACATTTAAAATTGTACATTAATAAATGCTCTGTGATATAATTAAGCTGTTGTACATAAACAATGAGTAACTATTTGAAAATACATCAAAATTTAGTAGTTTTACTAAAAAGTTATTTAACAATTACATAATTTAATGAAATAGCATGAACATGATTAAATTTAGTTAAAATTACACCAAGGAAATTTTACAAAATATAATTAAGCTGACAAAACTTACAAGCAATGAGTAAATGTCATCAGAAAGGCATCAAATTTGAGTTGTTTTAACTAAAAAAAGTTATCTACAATCTACATAATTTGCGTAAGTAGAAAGAACATGATTCATTTTAGTTAAAGTTACTGAAGTTATTGAAGTAAATCCTGCAAAATATAGTTGACATTGCTTATAGGTAATGAGTAAATGTTACTCAAATTATATCTCTGAATGTAGATGATTTAATTTCGTGCAAGACTTTGACAAAAAAAATTAAGTAAATTCAAAGAGTCATTTTTTTGAGTGCACCTCTTCCTGGGAACTTTCATATTGATGACTTGGTCCGCAGTTTGACTTGGTTGGTTGATGCACCGTGCCTTTTCATGATCTGTTTTTTCAACCATTGTAAGGTATGTATTTTTACCCTTTTCTGCACTGCATGTTCATAGTGTGAGTCACTGTCATTACGCTTTGCATTCAGCTGAGGTAGGAGGCTCATTTTATTTTGCCTACTTCACTAGTTTTCATTTTGCTTGTAACTAAAAGAACTTTTTCTTGGTCTCTGGATAGCTGTCATTAGTGATTGAGCCGCAGTTTTCCACAGCTCTCACCCTCCTGCTGTCTAGGCAGCTATGTCGCTACGCCCCAGTATGTAAGTTTGCAATTGGTCATTTTAGCCATTTTGTGCACTTTGTAGGCGTTTGTAGGCCAGGCTGTGCATGACGGTGGTTGGCCATTTCCAAGTTCACTACCTCCAATCCTCTGAGGTGCTGCTGTTTTGTCTCTACATTAGGCGTGTGCCAGTATACCATATGTGTATTAAAGTGTATGTATGGTATACCACGATATTAAGACAGTAATGTTATGACTTCAAAATACCACCACTGCATTTGAAAAGCTGCCTATTTCACCCACAGAACAGAGAGACAGCAGCCATGCCTTAATAAGCTCTCATCACCACTGCTGTGTGGCGCTCTGATCACGTGTTACGGTATGTGTCCTTTTGCAACTTCGCCTCGCTGCATCCTATTCATGTTGTACACGATGGTTTGCTGTGCACCAATATCTGCCTCGTCGCGCAGTGTTCAGTAGATTTCAACATTATGCACTGCATTTACCCAATCAGGGTAAAGTAGACTGGCCTTTGTCACAAACAGCAAACATAATTTTTCTGAGAGCAGAAAGCTGAATCTATCTCTTTCTCCTCTCTCAATCCATGACAGTTAACATAATGAAAATGTCTGGTTTTATATAGAACTGTTGGCAGTGAAGATTTGGAGAAAAGCTGGAAGACAAAACCATACAGAGCAGGTGGTTAATATACTATTATAATATATGTTTTTAATCTGTGAGGACAGTTCCAATTTCATACATTTTGACCATGATAACTGCTGTACTGTAATAAACTATGGTGAAGGCTCACCATAGAAGGCCTGCGTACTAAGTAACTTTGTAAACCATGTCAGAAAATCATACGGTAGCCTACCATATCCCATATGTCATATATAAGGATTGCTGAAAAAAATAACGCAGTTTGAAAAAATTATGTGCTATTTGTAGAATGCATGGTAGCCTACATTCAAGTAGACTGTATACCTATACAAATGAGATAGGTAGGCTATCACCTGGTAGTATGATTCAGTCCCGCAACCCCACCCCTGCTTTTAATGCCTGGGTTACCTTGTGTCCTGAAAAGACCTTTATGGTGATGTTGTGAACTCATTTGACACCTGCTACCTTCTGGTCAAGTTTTATGAAGCAGTATTCTCTGAAACTAGGCTAGCAAGTGGTAGAATAAAACATAAACAAGTATTTCACCAAGAAATGTAGTTTCTTTAGAGTATGGTATCATTGCCAAGCAACCATTGACTGTTGAATACTACTAGTAGTACATACTAGTACTACATACTACATACTAGTAAAAGAACATTCAGTCACCCATCACTGTATACTGCGGTGATTTCATGAACATTTTAACTTTTTGCTGTATAACAATGAACATATCAAAACCTAGCACTATTTGATGCAAAAACCTTTACTTTATAAGTACTTTTTGGTCACCAAATTACCACTGCAAGTCTTTTATAGTACCAACTCAATGGCACCCCTCATCCCCCGCCCCAGGGCTGGATCTCAAGAGGCTCCCTGCTCCCTATGTAGTGCCTTATGTAGAAATTGAAATACTGGCTCCTGCACCTCAACAGCGCATAATATAGCTAAAAAATAGTCATTTGGGATTCAACCATATCCATACTCGACACGTAGCGCACTATTTGGCTGTAGAAGCTAGAATTTCAAAACTTCCCTAGCACACTATTTAGGGAGTACGAAACAGTTTGAGATTCAGCCTGGGTTTGATGCTACTTCTGACTGAAACATAGACATTTGAAGCGTGTAAGCCTGAAATTAGGTTCTACTTCATCAGTAAACTCGGTTGTCGGTCCGAGCAGCATGAGAGTCAAAGATTATTTCATTAACAGTACAAGGATTTTTCGTGATGCAGTAATACAGAATTCAGTTCCCGTGATTGGGGTTGGCACAAACCTGGACACTGTCATACCGATGACTGATGGTCCATTTTGCCCACAAGCAAAAACATTTGTACATTAGACCAGCTGACTAGAAAACAGCTATTGTTTGTCCTCTTTTTAAAGGGGGTGATCTGGCTGACACAAACTCCTATAGACCTGTACCTATTTTACCATGTTTATCTAAAGTTTCAGAAAATCTTATCAATAGGCAGCTAACTCATTACCTGGATGTAAGCAGTATCCCACCTGTTCAGTTATGGCTGTGCTACTGATATCTTGAAGGTCCTTAATGACATTATATGTGCATTAGAGACCAAGCAACATTGTGCAGAAAAATTGATTTAGCTAAAGCATTTGATTCAATTGATCACTCTTACTGAACAGATTGGGCAGTATTGGGGTTCTGGATCACTCTTTGGCCTGGTTATCAAATTATCTTTCTCATAGGGTACATTGCGTTAAATTGGATAGTTGTCTTTCTCACTGTCTTCCTGTTACTAAATGAGTTCCCCAGGGCTCAACATTAGGTCCTACACTGTTTTCT